TGCTTTCACGAGCTTTTTCATGTCTGCATCCTTATTTTATTTTATAGTTATTATCAAGTTAATTTAGAAGTTATTTAATTTTTTAATAAATACAAATATTAATTAGAAAAATTAATTAATTTGTGCAACACACCTACTATCATGTTAGGTTTGTTCTCGCTATTCAGATAGTATATGTAACATAGTCTTGTAGTTAAATACTAGCTTTGATGGCAATATTTTAATAGTCTTGAGTACCCCTCTCTCCATGAAACGGCTTGCATGGCCAACAAATCTTTGGATTGACATTAATGATTTTTTTTTTTCTCTTTCCATCTTAATATTTATGTCCGCATCCTCCAAGTTTTTAAAGTATTTATTCAATTTATTTTTCTTTTATATTTAATTTTAATTATTTTTTATTTTATTTAAAATAATTTATGAAATTAGTTTTTTAGATCATTTTTTTGTTGAAATTTTTATTTTTAAATTTATTTTTTAGTATTTTGTTGATCGAAAATTTGAATTCATGATTTTTTTTTTAGATTTTTTACGGAGTAACAATCCCATAATCCAAGTTATGAATTTAAAAGGTTAGCTCAAATTATCTTAAGTCTTTATTTTAGCTTTTTTTTACAATTTATTTTTTTATTTCATCATTCAATAATAAATTTTTTTTGTAAATAAGTTTTCCTGAATTTATATATTAAGTTGCAAGTTTAGTCTTTTAATTCAAGTTGGTTTCAACTAATTTTCATTTTATTTAATTTATTTATTATTGTTGTCTTTTTTTTTACTAGACAATTAATTTAACCAATATTATTAAATTTAATTAGTATCTCCTAAATTTTTCTCATTTATTTAGCAACACTATAATCATCTTAGTATTTTTTATCCTGCCACCGGTATAGTCCGGGATACAGGTATAGTTTTAAACCTAAGGATGTATTTAGTTTCAAGTCAAATTCAACATTTAACCTCCTGTACTCTTCTTGTTTGGTATGGGAAGGACAATCGAAAGGATTGATTGTCAATCTAATACGGAACGAGGAGGAATATTAAAGGGGAAAAGTTTAAAAATTGTGCTAATTTATTATTATTATTATTGTTATTATTTTGTTCAAAACACACCATTAAATTTTCTATTTCTCTTTCTTGCGCATGTTAGTTGGGTCCCATCAGTACATATTATTTACACTTTCAATTATATTTAATTTAAAATATGGTTTGAAATTTATCATGCCCGTTAACACTCATTATTTTAAAACACTCGTAAATATTCTAAACACTTAGTTCTTCAATCGTCTTTATTACACGTCCAATTTGTAATTTTCTTTCATATCTTATCCTAGTTTATAAATATCCGCTAATTTCCTTTTAAATTCCATGTATTTATCAGTCATGCACAGAAAAAACCTCAAAATCTGAATTTTTTTTTATACTCGATGCATATGCAATGTCATGCTTTTTGTTAAATTATACTAAAAAATATACTAAAAAGATATAATTTTTAAAATTAATTATTTCAATTTTATTTACCTTGTTAACACCAGGTCAGTTTGAAATTTCATTTTAATTAGTGTTTAAAAAAATAATTTTTTTATGTTTTTATTAATTTAATGTATCATATTAAAAATATTATTTTAATATTTTTTAAATAATTTTTTTAAAAAAACAAATATTTTTTCTTTAAAAAAAATCCCCTTATCACTAGTAACACGTTTTGGCATGTGAGAGAAAGGTACATTTCAACCCTCTCATAGCCCACCAACCCTCTCCACCTAGTGTTATAACTACCCTTCTTGACTCAACAATAGGCACAAGAATAGGAACTTTTGTACTGTGAATCCATTCCTGCTATTACACGTGTCATAACTATCCTTAAGTCCCCGCTCCTAAACAACATTGAACACCATCAACTGCGAATTAAAACCAGCCAAAGACATAAACGCCACACTGAACACCGTGGATCTTCTCTCTTGGCAATCCCTTTTTCTAGCGTGCGCGTGCACGTGCCCGTATTGACTTTTGTTTTCGGATATTTTTTTTTTAAATAACACAGTAAATCAAAGTTACGGTAGACTAACATTATTTCAAAAAAATTTAGTAAATTAATATATTTTTATATTATCATACTTTCAAAATATAATATTTATTTTAAAGGGCAATAATATAGTTGTTGTGTTTCATAATAATAATAATAATATTTAAACTTATTGAGTTTTGAAACACTATAATTATAATTACTAGATATAATTGTATAACTGGTCAATTGTTTTATATAAAAACTATAATTTTATAATTTTTTTTATTTTAAATGTGTTTTATGAGTAAAAATATATATATTTTTTAATTTATAAATTTAAAAATAAACTTTAATTAAAATATTAAAATATGTGGATTTATTATAACTAAATCGATATCTAAATAAATTATATGGATAACTTAACAAATATATTTATGGATTAATTAGATAAATTTAGGCTTATAAAATGTTATTATATCAAAATAATAACTTAAAAGTATCATAATTTTTTAGGTAATTGTTAGATCTTTTTAAATTTTTATATGGGTTTTCAAAAGTTATTTTTTATATAATAGAATGGAATTACTATCATGATTGTTATGTCTTTATATTTTAAAAACCTTATACTAGAAAATTAATTTTGTTATTTTCATGATTTTTTAAAAAATCAGTCAACTAGTTAGTATTAAATTTTAAATATATATCATGATTATAAACCACGAATAGCAGTTAAAATTTTGTTATGGATCACAGCCGCAACATCCAAAAATACACTATTTCACTAAAAACAATTATTACTTTTATATCATTTCATCATTTATTTGTAATCTACATGCTAATTGTTAAATTTATAATTTTTTTCTGGACAAAAATACTTATTTTTAATCTTTCATTGCACGGGGCCTACCTCCTCTCTCGGTCCCACCATGAACCCCACGCCCCCTTATCCCCGAACACAACGCCGTTACCTACCTGGCTCTCAAGTCTCAACCTTCCACGCAACCCCTCCGTCAACGTTATAAATAACGGAGATTCCCCTCCTAGCCGTCACTTGTTGAGAGTTCCCAGCCCACCACAGTCATATCTTTCAAAATATTTTTATATTTTAATTTAATTCCGTCTCAGATAATACTGACCAAAGAGAGACCAATAGGGGCCTCCCCTTTTGCCACGTGTGAAGCTAAGTTTTCTTTTTAATGCTTATTACTCTCTACGTGGCAAAAACCTAAAAGGAAACGGATTATCTTTATGACATTAAAATGCTTACTCTGTAAAGGTCAGCAGATCCAGCAACCCGGGTAGCAAAACTTCCTTTCATACCAGAATCACCCTATAATATGCAGAAATTATAAAGGAAAACGAACTGACAAACAGAAACGTTCACAAGTAAACTACAAGAACATTTTGTTTCTCCCATTAAGAAACATAATCATGTTCAGCACACTTCATCGTCATCTAACAGAAGCATAAAGGAAGAGTAAACAACATGCATGCTGTAATAAAAGAACAGGAAGTTAAAAAGAAAAATGAAGGCTAAAGAAGAGGTAAAAGTTTCATGAATTTGGATGCCAAGATAATTCTTTTCAAAGGATAAACAAAAAAAAAATGACAAAATTCAGTAGAAGAGACAAAACTACAAGAATGTGATTGCAAGCATTGAAGTTTTAGAACATTGGTGTTATAAAATAGTTTCAAGCAATACCTAGTAATTCCTAAAATAGTTTCTACTAATACCTGTTAATTCCATCAAAATCATCTCAAACCGATTTTAAACCTTTTTTTTTTAATATATTTTCAAGTAAAAAATTCTTAAAAAACAATTATTATCACACTTAATTTAAAATATCTAAAATATCCTCAATTACTTATAATGTTTTTTTATTAATATTTAATATGAATATGTGATCTTACCTCTCTTATTTTTATAAAAGCACTATAAATTTTTTATATTTGTTGGTTAATTTCTTACAACTCACAACAACGAAAATTTCCCAGTTCGATTTTCGATTAAATAAGCTAAAATTTAATAAGCTCTCGAAATTCTTAACATTTGAACCACCAAATTGCTATTATTCAACTTTTTACGGGAAGAAAACTGCTGCTTGATATGGTTACATTGCTGAGTATATATTTCGGATGAGTGGATTAAATTTACAGGTGAAAGGAAGGAAAAAAACAGCCAATTCTTTCTACAAAGTCAAATACAAGATTAAAGAATTTAATATTATCAAACCAATCTTTACCTGTGTAACAACTGATAAATGAGTTTGGTGTTTATATTACTATTCAAGATTCAAATGCTAATAGAAATTGTGGGAAAAAAAAATCTTGCGAGTATACCTACTCAAATAGCATGAAATTCAGTGTTGTATTCAAATCTTATGGAAAAGATACTGTGATTATTGGTTGCGAACTATGAATTTCCTTTTCTGATCCACAATAACAAAACACAGCCAGTAATTGAAGGATTCATCAACCTGAAAGATTCGAGCAAGACGCATACTGGATTCATTTGATAATATATTGTTTAGATTTAATATTATTTGGATTTAGTTGCACATACCATAATTAGAGGCTACATTTTCAGTGAGTTTCCATCAATACAAATTCTGTATCTGAAGGGGTTTTTACGTGGTGACAATATAGCAAGTAGCATGGCCTCTATATGTAAACAGAATTCAAATAGACGGGTCAAAAACAACACCACGAAACAAATTCAAAATGAAAAAAAATAGCAGAGAGAGAGAGAGAGAGCCCGATGTTTTTCTCAGTCGTGTGGATGATAGAATGCCAAAGAAGGGTAAACCAATCATGAAGACCGGTCTTTAGGTAGTTTCCATGACTGGCTATAGCAAGTCATTTGGAAGAACTAACCGATAGGTCCCGTGACCAAGGGTCACTGGTATAAGAACTGGGGTTTAAGCAAAACTTCGGGTGGTTTTAGAGGGTTTTGCAATCACAGAGAGAGAGAGAGAGAGAGAGGATGGTTTTAGAGGGTTTTGCAATCAGAGAGAGAGACAGAGAGAGAAGAGTTTTTATTTTATTTTAGTAAGAGAGAGAAATAAAATTGGGTAGCGTTTTAAACATCAACGGTTTTTTGGTGAAAGGAAAATATGGGATAGAAAATGAGAGAAAGAAAGTGTCGTGTAAGGGACAAGACGATTGTGTTCTTCTTCTTCTATGATCTTTGCATTTTCTTCTAAATTTTCTCTCAGAATCGTCTTCTTCCTGCAAAGGGAAAAAAAGGGGTCGACTTTGAACCGAAAAAAGAAGAGAATTTTGGCTGTTCAATAAGAGGTGAGTGACCATATGGATTATTTTGTGAATTTTGTTTCACCAATTGTCTGGAAGTTTGGTGTTTTGAAGAGTTTTTTTCTGGTGACACTGTGCTTCGTTTTGTTTGGTTGATGTAAAATGGGATTTTGACGGAAAACTCGAAGCAAGAATGACTCCTACATGAATCCAAGTTTTGAACTTTTTTTCTCTCTCGTTTTCCTCTGTGTAATCTTGAAACTTCAAGGGGGTTTCTTTTCTTGCTCTGATTCATCTCTCTCTCCCTGTTCTTTCATGGATTTGCGTTTCAATCGACAATTGTGGGTTTCTTTTCTTGCTTGATTCATCTCTCTCTCTCTCTCTCCCTGTTCATTCATGGATTTGCGTTTCAATCGACAATTCTGTTTTCAACATATTTTCGATCTGAGATTTCTTGAGTGATTTATCGTTGCTAAAATGTCTTTTTTTTCTTTTCAAAAATACAGAATTTCTCCTTTTAACTTAAGAGGTGATGATAAAGATTCATTTTTTAACAAGTATTTTGGTTCTTAATGGTCGATCCTTGTTGAAGGTCTTAGATCCTCTGGATTCATCTGGTCTGAATAGCTCTCAATTCCTTCTTGAGTGTCTGAATTTCAGTTTTCGGGATTTTGTTACTTGGATCCTTTTTATCAGGGTTTTGTTGTGGTTTTAGTTTATTTTTTATTTATAAAATTAATCATATTCCTCATCGAACAGTGAAATTTTTGATGTCCCGATTATGACATCAAGTCTCGATTATTTTTTTTAGTCGTTTTTATGTATAAATCTTGGTTTTAGTTTATTGATCCCTGAGAATTTCTCACGCCTTTTCCTCGTGACAATTTTCCTCAATTTTTTTTCCTGGTTTATCCGGTTTTTTTTTTTTTGTGTGTACTTGCTGTTTGTGGTTAGATCATGAGGATATGATTAGGTAATTTTTCCAAGTTCTGTGCTTGTGTGTGGTGGATTCTGTATGGATTGAGTTGGGTTGCAAGGGATAAGAGCCTAAAAATCATGATCAGATGCAAAAATTCTGATGCAAGTTTGCAATTCACAAATCCAGTGTTTATTCGTACCAGGACAAAGAATTCTAATTATTGCAAACAGCACCTGTATGCAGTGACCCTTGTTTGTTGAGAATTTGCACGCAGGATTGATCTTTTATTTGATGCTGGTTTATGGGTTTCATTTTAAACCGTGTATCGTGCGAATTTCTTGTAGAGAGAACTTTTTTCATAATGGGTTTTTCTTTTCCTCTTCTTTTTAAAGTTTAATTTCTGGTGTTGAGTTTGTAGCCATGGGTTTTTGGCTTTGTACCTAATTGTCAGTTTTACATTCTATTCATTGGATAAGTCATCTCTTGATGATCTCATTCATTTGTTGCCAGGGTTTTATCGTTGGGGTTTGAAAGCTTGAGTGATTGGGCAAATTGTGCATTTTTGAAAATTTGAACCACAAATGCTGTTACTCTGTACATGATGTGTCCTTGGTATGATCTCTGAGTATGGTGTTGCAGAAGAGATTAGATTACGGATTCAATGGCTATCAGGTTCCGCACATGCCCCGAGCTACCAGATCAGCTAGGGTAACGTACTTTCTACTCTGTTGTGATGCCAGATGTTCCAATTATGTTTTTCCTTACCTTTTATTTTCCCTCTGTTGCCAAAACTCAAGTCTTTTTTTGTTTTGTTTAGAGGAGACGTTCCTTTAAGAAGAAACATGAAGAGGATCAGATGTGTGCATTTGACTTATTGGCCATTGTAGCTGGAAAGTTATTGCTTGATAAAGAAAGTGCTCCTAGTTCTAGTAATACATCAGCGGACAAATATCAGTGTGCAGTTGTTAATAGTGCTGTAAAATATGAATGGCAGGATGAAGAAAAACCTTTGAAAGTAGAAGCCTGTGATCAGGGAAGTGCTGCCAGGAATTTCTTTGTTTCTGATCTACCACAAGTTCATGGACAAGGTTGCAGTTCCAAAGAATCTCTTGTCACTCAGAATAACCTCAATTTAAGATTAGCTTCTGCACTAACAAAGTCAGACTCTGCAGGGAGGTCCAGTGCTGAGAAGTTGAGAAATGACAAAAGCAAGAATGATATAGGTACTTTTGCCAGCAAAGTAGAGGGAGTTTCCTCTGAGTACGGAGAATTTGGTGACTGTAAATTAGAGGTTGAAACCAAAAGAGCAGTGAAAGATGAGCCTGGTAAGTCTGGGGTGGTGCTAAGCAGCACTGCGGCTGACATGTGCAGTTTAGATGATCCTGTGGTTCTGGATGCAAAACCTCCTGCACTGGCCAGTTTGGACAGTTGCGCCAAGGTGCCTCTGTGTAGGAACCATATTCCCAATAGTCCCAATCTCACAGATCGGGATGATGTAAATGTAGTTAGTAGAGATGATGACGATAACTACTCTGGGTGCACTCACCCTATCACCAAAAAAAAATTCTTTAGGCCAGCACCACGTATCGGAGATCGAAGAATCAGGAAAATTTTGGCTTCTAAATACTGGAAAGTAGCTCCAAAATTCAAGGATGCTACAGTTTCTAACTCTTGTAAGTAGTTTTACGTGCCAGCTGATTTATGTTTCTTGTTTGCATTACAATCCAAGATAAATTGTTTGTTGTTTTTTAATGCAAATCTTCTGATGTGTCTAGATGGGGATTTGAAGCCTGTTTTCCACAAGAGGAAGAACTATTACAGACAACAAAGGTCTGAAAGGCTATATCCTTTCAAAAAAAGGAAGCACTATGCCTATAGCTCACCATCAAAACTTGATGGGGGACTAAGTTGCGAGTTTGTATCTGATTCACCTCGAAAGGGCAGCAATGGAGATGCTTCTGGTTCCTGTTCAAGGATGCATGGAGGTCTCTTTAATTGATTTTTGTTCTGATATTTGCATTAGATTCTGAGATTATTGCCCTTTGTTAGCATTTGCTAAAAAAATCCTCATTCTTAAACAGTGACTGGGGCATCATCTTCATTTGTGGCTCAACACGCTTCATTCCAACCCTGGGATTCTCATGGTATGAGAACCTTTAATGGAGGGGCATCATCTTCATTTGTGGGTCAACGCTCTTCATTCCAACCTAGGGATTGTCATGGTACGAGGACCTTTAATGGATTGATTGATATGTACTCTTTTGACTTAATTGGTGAGGATCTTACAAGAAGGTGCCTTTCCTTTTCCTCAGTGAAGCTCAGGATCAAGTCTTTCAGGGTGCCAGAGCTTCTTGTTGAGATTCCAGAAAGTTCAACTGTTGGCTTATTGAAGGTATCAATCATTGACTACAATAATTACGATAATTGAATTTTCCTTGCCCTTCTTAGTTGCATATATAGGTATATGTAGACAAGAAATTGCATATGCATGCTCAAGTTTTATTGTCTGTACAGCCCAGGTGTGTTGTCAAGACTTGCAACATTGTTGGCATGTATCTGTTTTTACGTTTATACATGTGTTTATTCATTCTCTATACTACCCAATCCTCTGATGGATCATGTGATAACAATTTGCTATGTGAATTGTAAATCTCTTTCATCAGACAACTGACCTCTAGTGTGTATTCTAATGATATGTGTTTTGTAGAGGACGGTAATGGAGGCTGTGACTGCTATACTTGGTGGTGGTTTACGTGTTGGTGTACTTCTTCAAGGAAAGAAGGTTAGGGACGACAACAAAACTTTATTGCAGACCGGGATTTCTCACACTAACCAGTTGGATTCTTTGGGTTTTTGCTTGGAGCCTAATCCTTCACAAACCCCCCCTTCTTTGTGTCCTGAAGATTCTCCCTTTCTACTTCAATGTGACACACCAGACCCTTTAAGCAGGTAATTGGAAAGTACTCTGACCTCCTTGGAAATCAGCCTTTCAGGTTTTAAGAAGTAGCATTTCTTTTTCTTTAATTTTTGGGAGACAAACCACAAGAAATGAAGACCAAGAAACCCTAGTCAATTTGCACCCAAAACTGTTTTTACCTTAGAGTCAAGAATGCAAAGCTACTTGCTGTCATTGATGTTCCTACGGACCTCAGAGTGGACTTCTGTAGTACTTTCAGATGTGTTAATTGGTGGCTTTGTTTATGATATTTAAGCAGATTGACATAAGGTAAGTTGATTTGTAAAGAAATAGTCCGATGCTAAGGAGAGTTAAAGGCAATATTGTTTTTACATTGCATGATAATTATTGGTATAATTTTTGTTTCTAATAGGTCTGAAATTTTGGATTGAGACACAGTAGCAGATTATGGTGACGTTGAATTCGGACTCCTTAGATTCACCCAAATCCAAAGGGATCAACTCAGTTGCTAATCAACTTATGGTTTATTGCTCTTTACCAGGTGTCCTCCCACTGCTGGTGTGGTGTGTCAGGGCATTTGTACTGGTTCTCCAGAGCCCCACCTGAACAATTTAGGGAAATGTATTGAAAGTGACCGTGATTCAGCATCCTCTCCTACTGACACTTCAATGGACCAAAGCACAAATTCAAAAGCGCTAGTTGCAGTACCAGCTATGAAAGTAGAGGCGCTAGCTGTGGTTCCAGCACACCAGAAATCCAAACAATCCGAGATTGTGCAGCGCCGAATTCGTCGACCTTTCTCCGTTGCTGAAGTTGAAGCATTGGTTCAAGCAGTTGAGAAACTTGGAACTGGAAGGTATGATTGGATTGATAATGTTTCACTTGGCCTGGTACAGAGCTTGATCAAAATGTTGTCTCAGTCTTAGCACCTTTATGTGCATGCATTTTAGAACATGATTTTCTCTCTTGCATTACAATTCTTTATAAAATGAAAATTTTAATTTTCTTATTGATCTGCAGGTGGCGTGATGTTAAACTGCGAGCATTTGATAATGCAAAGCATCGGACATATGTGGATTTGAAGGTGGGTTTTATTTTCTCACCTTGATACAAATTTACTACAGTACAGTTTGCGATGGTCAGGTATTTACTCTTCGTGCATATTGGACGTTCTGTTTCTTTACTCAATTGGATTTCTTGTCAGATATTTGGTTGTTACTTTGACGGTGTTTGATTGTTCCTAGATTGCATTATTGCAAGTAAGCTCTTTCAAAATTCAAAAATGTCAGGCTTTATGGCCTGGGTCCACCCACAATGGCACGTAGCTAGTTTAATATGTTCAACAAATAGTTGCTTGTATAACAGTTAAATGATCAGTTAGGGCTTTTCACCTTTCTAGTTTTATGTCCCACGAGGAGTCTCCATTCTAATCTTAGACGATGTCTCCTTGTGTACACTTCTCTTCTGATTGTCTCTCCTCCCCTCCTCTCCTGTCCTCGTGGCTAACATGCCCTTGCATAATTACATCCTTTCCACTTTTTTGTTGCATAAGTTTTCGACATCTTAGACGGCTCAATTGAATTGTCCCGGAAAGGAAAAGGTCAACTCGAGAAGCTCTCTGTATTCTAATGGCAGATTGCTTGAAGAGTACTAGTTGTCATGTCATGTGGTTTTATTTGTTGATGGGTGTTTTTTGATGGTATAGGATAAATGGAAAACACTGGTGCACACGGCAAGAATATCCCCTCAGCAAAGGAGAGGAGAGCCTGTTCCCCAGGAGCTCTTAGACAGGGTCCTAACTGCCCATGCTTACTGGTCCCAGCAGCAAGCCAACCAACAGTTCAAACACCAGCACGCAGAGACTTGCCTTCTCCTCTGAGAGCTCGCGGAACATGTTGGAACGAAGCCTAGACTAGTGGATTCAGAAGGATTTCTAATTTTTTTTTCTTTATTATGTGTATTTTTGTGATCATTGTGTAAAAAGTTGATGACAAGGGAGAAGTGTTGAAGCAATCTATGTAATATTCTTGTGCTCGCCGCCATTCTTTCCCTGCTTGGGAAGTTTGGCCCTTGTAAATGGTCAATGGAATAAGAGCTTCCTAACACAAATCATTTGGTAAAAGAGTCTTATCTCTTCGTAATTTATTTTTTCGGTCTTGGTGGGACTGAAGAATGGAATGGGGATGTCTTGCGATCTCATTATCAAAAATTTATTTGAGTAATTGTCATTCAACATGATAGAATCGGCATTAAATCACATTCAAATTAAGTTAATTCAATATGATACAAAGGATCAGGAGATGGATTCAATCCAAATTTATAATAGCCACAAAAAATCATTAGGCATTTTCTTTTTTCTGTTATGTTTTTGGTAGCGTTGCGTGGATTGAGCCGTATTGGCTTCTTCAAATGTTGCAAAATTGGATGATCAACCAGACCTCCATTAATACACTCTTGCTAGATAGGTGTCCATGTAAAAAATGGATGCTCAAGTGCAGACGGTGTATTTAAAAAAACATAAAAAATTTCATGACTTGACATTATAAAAAAAATTAATTAACAAAAATTAAAAGCTAATAAATCTAGGTGGCCAGTTAAAGGATAAACAATGAGCTGACTCATGACTCAAATGACCCAGGGCTTAGGATAGATGAGTTGGGTTTTAAAAGAAATTTAAAATTTCATGACTTGACATTCTAAAAAAAACTAATTAACAAAAATTAAAAGCCAATAAATCTAGGTGGCCAATTAAAGGATAAACAATGAGCTGACTTATGACTTGAGTGACCCAAGGTTTAGGGTAGATGAGTTGGGTTTTAAAAGAAATTTAAGAAAAATTAACTTGGTGTGAAACAATTAAAAACACGAGTTGATATATGACCTAGTCAAACTATGGAAAACCTAGTTAAAATCGGGTCAAAATTCATTGATTATTTTTTCTTATTTTATTTTTAAAATAATATCATTTTTATTTTTTTATAAAATAAAAAAATTATCTGACTTGGGTTAATTTTGGTCAATCCACTTGACAGATGACTTAGTATTTGTCTCGGATTGACTCCCAAACTAACTCTCGGAAAATGAAGGGCAACTTAAAGTTTTGAATTAAATGGAAAAAAAAAAATCAAATTAACATAAGAATCCTAAACAATAATTAAAATCAAAGAGAATGTAAACCAAATTTGAAAAATAAAAAACCAAGATCATGGATCTAAGGATAATATTGAAAACAAATTCAAATTTGATAAAAGAATTAAGAATCAAAATTAGAAATTAAAAACATTAAGGGCTTAACCTTAAATATCATCAAATTTTGAAAAGAAAAATCAAATTAACAAAAGAATCCAAAACCAAAAATAAATATCAAGAGAATGAGAACTAAACTTGAAAAAAAAAACAAGATTAAAATTTGATAAAAGGGTTAAGAATCAAACCTTGAAATCAAAACATTGAAGGCTAATTTTAAACATCATCAAACTTTAAATTTAATAGTAAAATTGAAAAGAAAAATTAAATTTACAAAAGAATCCAAATAAAAAATAAAAATCAAGAGAACGAAAATCAAACTTTAAGAAATTGAAAATAAAGATTATAGATCTAATGATGAAATTAAAAATAAATTAAGATATGATAAAAGAGTTAAGAATCAAACTTAGAAATAAAAAAATTTAGAGCCAAATATAAAATTTAATAAAATAAAAAGATAAATTTGATTTTTTTCACAGCTAATATAAAATTCAATGGATATGAGAGAGAGAATATGAAAAGAAAATGAAAGGACAACCAGTGACAAATCATCATTGAAAACATCACACGCGTCACCACATGTGGCAGAGAGCGTCATGGAGCTTTAAACGTCATAGTGGAATCTGGTATTTTTCAATCAGACAGTGGCTTGCACGCCATTAATTTTTTTAATAATTTTTAAAATTTGATAAATATTAAATCTCTCCTAGTCCAACTTAATAATAACATAAAAACCTATAGGAAATGACATAAACATCCCTAGACTAAAACCATACGATTTTGATAGTGAGACCAAGATATTCCTACAAAAAATAAATCAAAATTGACTATGAAACTTAATTTTTAATCGATCCAATGTTGAATAATAAAACTGAAAAAAAAAATAATGAAAAAAATATAAAAATAACTCAATTTAATCTAGATTAACCCTTAAAACACTATTTTTGAGTCATAAAGCTAAAATAATATAAAAATAAATTAAATTTTAATTATTAATCAATTTAATATTAAAATATACATATAAAAAATGCCTATGCTAATCCACCAAATAAAAACAAAACACACTAAATAAATAATAAATAATGTCTGTGAGAAGAGTAAAACTCACTACTCTTTTAGTTTATAGATTCATGTGTATTTATTTAGGAGTGTGATTGTAATTATTTTTTAAATTAATTTTTATTTTTAAAAAATTATTTTTAACATAGAAAAACAATTTAAAATATAAAAAAAAAATATTTTTAGTAAAAAAAATTAAATTTGGTAAGAATGGTGTCGCCATTCTTAAATAGAAAATAAAACTTGGCAACCAAAATACTGGTGGTTTCCTCAACATAATGAATTAATGCCCATTACCTTTATTAGAAAAATATGTACATGTTTTGGAATCTTGTCGAGGATATAATATTTTTTTTTTTTTTTTTTTTTGGAAGTTTTTTTTTTTTTTTTTTTGATTTACGTGGGGTGTCTGGGTCAGTTTACGCGCACCACGATTAATCCCCACGGCCCACTGAACACCCTGCAAACCCAGTAGGCAAGTAAAGCAGCGCGGGGCTGACAAGCATGCAACTCTAAGGCTCGAACCCGTGACAGCAAAAGACATAAGACGCCATTCCACCGCTGGGCCGTTGCCTTGGGTGCTTCCGTAGAAGTTTTCATTCTACAACGTGGTGTCATTCCGTAGAAGTTTTCATTCTACAACGTGGTGTCATGGGACCACAAAAAGATGGCTTCGGACTCATCCTGATAGTTGAACACTCCTGTGTATTGCACGTGTCAGAATATTAATTTTATTCTTATTATCCCAACTTGATGAAACCTGCAACCCAGGCCGGGTCCGGTGACTGCGCTTATATTATTACCAAACAGAACCTCACGTACCCATTGCCGCGAAGTCCGTGAAAGCCCGAGAAACGCATCAATCAGTAGAGTGGCTGCTACAGGTAACTCATCATCACTCCATTAATGCCCCGTCGGGGCTAATATGGAGTCACGTGTAAAAGACAATGACTCCCTTCTGTGTTCATCCTGTTATTGCAAGTTGGTGAAACAAGCAGTTGCTACAACAAGGGAGATGTGAGGTTTCCATGTAACCAATATTTGCCTCCTCCTTTAATTTGTAGTTCCTTTTTATATGAGCTTGATGTAATTATTTGGTCAAAAAAACCTGTTTCCTTCTATATATTTCTATACGTGAACCCGTTAGTCCCAAGCTTATTTTATTTTGATCTTTTAAATATACTTATATTTTTTTTGAAAAAAAAAAACATGAGAGATGTGATTGATTCGCCAAGGAGGCAAGTCTACAGTCATACCGGCAATGGCCGGTATATTTTACATCTTGGGACTCATATTTTCCGGACCGAAATAGGTAAAGAAGATATTATAGATTGATTGTCCTCCTCCTTTTATCAAGGAAAGCGCGCCGCCACTCATTTGCCACTCAGTCCGCGCCTCCCTTAATCGTATTCTTCGTTCCTTTCTTTCTTACCAGGGTTGACTCCGTTTCTCAGGTATGTCATATTCTCGCTTATACTCTTTGTTTATTTTAGCTTGTTACCTGAAATTTCGGATCCTGTAATAATTGTATTCTTTATGGGGCTTGTGTCACACTTTACAAATTACTGTCCTTCACTGTTTTTTATGTTTTACTTATGATTAGTTTTAGCTAATGAAAAAGATTGAAATTTTATATGTTTAAAGAGCTCAAAAGACTACTAAATTGTGTGTACTGATTCAGTTGATGTGGGGCTTGATAATGGATGGGTTCGGATTCTCGTTTCACTGAGTTCCCTGGTTCTAATAAATTTGAGGATGAGATGGTGTTTCCGGATTCAAATCAGTATCACAATGTTACTAATGGATTCAAGTTCGAAGATTTAGACTTCGACTGTGTAGAAAATCCACTTGTTTTGCCTGACCCAGATCCGGGTAACTCTGCTTTGTCGTCGATTACAGCCATCGATGAAGATTCTCCTTCTGATGATAATGACTCGGAGAATCTCCTCAAGTACATAAACCAGATGCTTATGGAAGAGGACATGGAAGAGAAGCCCTGTATGTTTCATGACCCGTTGGCACTTCAAGCTGCTGAGAGATCGCTTTATGATATTCTTGGTGAGAAGAACCGGCCATCCTTACCCCATGAATCTCCTTCGTATGGTGACCAGTTTTTGGTTGATAGCCCGGATGATGGTTTTTCGAGTAGCCGCAGTGATTATAGCAGCAATAAAAGTTCCTTTTCTAATTCAGTCAGCTCGGTAGATCCTCAAGGGAATGGTGAATTTGGGGAATTCAAACCGTTGTTTATGCAAACGCCTCTTCCTAATAATTTTGTTTTTCGTTCTGCTGCAAATTTCAGTTCAGAATCATCATTCAAATTACACAATGGGTTAGCAAGTAATGGTGATAGTGCCACGAAGCCCTCTGCTGGTAACATTGTGGCACCAAATTTGTTCAGTGACAGTGATTTCGCGTTACAGTTCAAGAGAGGTGTAGAGGAAGCTAGTAAGTTCCTTCCTAAGGGCAATCCACTGATTATTGATTTGGAGACCAGTGCACTGGCTCCAGAGATGAATAGAGATGCCCCGAAGGTGGCAGTTAAGGCCGAGAAGGAAGACAGGGAGTTTTTCCCCGAATGGTTGACGGGAAAGAAGAATCATGAGCGGGAGGATGAGGATTTTGAGGAAGAAAGAAGTAACAAGCAGTCTGCAGTTCATGTAGATGACAGCGAACTGTCAGAGATGTTTGATATGTTAGGAGGAGTTGGGGAAGGATGCCGACCTCCTGGGTGTATACTTGATGATCAGGCTGAACAGTGTGAATCAAGCAAGACAGTGCGGCAGAATGGGCAAACAAAGGGATCCGGTGGTAGCAAGACTCGGGCTAAGAGACAAGGAAATAACGAGGAAGTTGTTGATTTGAGGACTCTTCTAGTTCTATGTGCACAAGCAGTCTCCTCAAATGATCGCAGAGCCGCTAATGAACTACTGAAGCAGATCAGGCAGCACTCTTCACCTCTCGGTGATGGGTCTCAGAGGCTGGCTAATTGTTTTGCTAATGGCCTCGAAGCACGTTTGGCTGGAACGGGTACCCAGATATATACGGCACTGTCTACTGAAAAATGGTCGGCTATGGATATGTTGAAAGCTTATCAAGCTTATGTTTCAGCTTGCCCATTCAAGAAGATGGCAATCATCTTTGCAAACCATAACATACTGAAAGTGGCCGAGAAGGCATCGACACTTCATATAATAGATTTTGGTATATTGTATGGTTTCCAGTGGCCTCCCCTCATTTATCGCCTCTCAAGGAGATCAGGTGGGCCTCCCATACTGCGCATTACAGGAATAGAGCTTCCCCAAAGTGGTTTCCGGCCAGCAGAGAGAGTTCAAGAGACAGGTCGTCGCTTGGTAAAGTACTGTGAGCGCTATAATGTTCCATTTGAGTACAACCCCATAGCTCAGAAATGGGATACCATCCAAATTGATGACCTGAAGATCAATCAAGATGAAGTCCTAGCAGTAAATTGTCTCTTTAGATTTAAAAATCTGCTTGATGAGACAGTTGTAGTTAACAGTCCCCGGAATGCTGTTCTGAACTTAATCAGTAAGACAAAACCAGATATATTTATCCATGCTATCGTCAATGGATCGTACAATGCTCCTTTTTTTGTCACAAGGTTCAGGGAGACACTGTTCCATTTCTCTGCATTGTTTGATATGTTGGATAGTAATATGCCCCGTGAAGATGAGATGAGGTTGAAGTTTGAAAAAGAGTTCTATGGTCGGGAGGTAATGAATGTCATAGCATGTGAGGGCTCTGAGAGGGTTGAAAGACCTGAGACTTACAAGCAATGGCAGGTTCGGAACATGAGAGCTGGGCTGAAGCAACTTCCCCTGGACCCTCATGTCATAAAGAATTTGAAGTGTAAGGTGAAGGTTAGGTACCATGAAGATTTTGAGGTCGATGGAGATGGCCACTGGATGCTGCAGGGATGGAAAGGACGGATTATCATTGCATCCTCTGCCTGGATTCCTGCATAGGAATGAGACAGCTTGTTCTGAGAGTCACCTCCAAAAGTTGGCAGGCAAGGGTTTTTCTTGGTTAATGCAGTCAATGCTAGATGAAAGGGGAGCCAAAGTTGTCCTTGGACATTTTGTCTATATGCTGGAGAATATTGGGCTTACCGAGGCTTATAGAACGGGAGGGAGGGCTCATGTAGCAGATTGTGGTTGCCAGTTAGGTTTGCAGCATGCTACACCCTACTGTCTGGGAAGTTTCTGTACTTCTCAGTGACGTCATAGTGTCACGTGATTTTCTTGTATATTATAATCCTCTCTCCAGCCTCAACTGTCGAGTTTATTAGCAGCTGGTAGCTTTATCTTATTGTTCTCTGGTACTTTTTAACACCATCTAACTGTCATTTAGCCAAAGCTTTTGCGGTTTGGTGCGACCTTGGATAAATATTTTTTCATTTTAGATTAATGTGTGGATGTCAGGATGTATTTTGATTAATTTTACAAATTTTAAAATTAATAATTATATAATTTTTTATTGACTATGAGATTTCTGGACTCGAACCAGTTTAACTTTTAAATAGTGTATCCAAAACTTGAATAATTAAATTACACTTAATAGTTGTATTTTCTTCTGCCTTGTGTCTTCTGCGAGCTACATTCATCACAAATGTATTATGGTTACCTTAAGATTGGAGCTGGCTGTTGCATAAGACCCCGGTTTATTAATTTAACCAAGGTTGCTGGTCATTAGAGAAGTTTTGATATCAGTAACACGTCGGCTGTGTTTACTGCCAAAATCCAGGAAATCACGGGCCTTAAGACCCGGTTTATTAATCCTCAGGGTTATTTGACAAGCAACATGCCCAGAAGCATTCTGTTTTTCTGTTCTGTCTGCTGTTTTATTGACAGGGCTTTTTCCTAATTAGTAATCAATGCTCATTAAATTATTTCTGGTCAATGATTCACAACATTGGCTGGCTTGAATGGTAAGTAAACGCTGGTGTATCGTTTATCGTTACTTAATTAAGTCAAAAAACTAAATATCCAGAACTACTAAACAATAATGGTCCTAGGAATCGTGACCGATGGCTAAGCCTACCCAGATACAGGGATTACATTCAATGTTTCAGCAATAGTGGAGAGCACTGTCGTGGGATTTTGTATTGTTTAATCAGCTAGCTGCTGCCTTCTTTGAACATTCCAAGGTAAAAGAAAATGCTTGAAAGATGACAATCTATTTAATTAATTGAATGTTTTTGTTCCCATCTAATTCATGTGGTTTTACTTGGAAGAGGTCGCCCTCAACAAGCTGCAGAATTCGAAGACTAAACGATCGGCGATGTGGGGTTGAACAGGGACCAAGCAACCGTATCGATGCTTTTGTCCATAAAACATTTATTTACACTTCACAGGATCGACTTTCGATTTGCGGGACCCATGGAGACTAAAAAGTTCATCCTCGCAAGGTCCACTGAGCACGAAGCCAATCCTCTCTCTTAATCCAGCAAGTTGTATGGATCTCTCTAGAGCTAAAATTCCTCAGACAGGAACTAGTATTGGATGTCGCAGGTAAATTCATGCTCCTTCGAGGCAATTGAGCATGGCTGCAATGATCGAGAAACTAGCAATTAATTATTGTTAGTGCTTGGAATTTAATTGGCAATTAAAATTAATCAACTAAAAAGCAGTATCGGACAAATAATCATGACTCTTGATTAAAGGGTTTCACCTGGTTCAAGTTGGGCCACTGAAGTGTCCCAGGACAAGAGCCGAATCTTTCAATTAATCGTGGATGTGCCCGCGAAGTGGTCCTGGCTGATGATCTCATTAAAAGAAACTAAAACCTCGTATAATAGCCACGCTCTCAGAAACACTATTTATTGAACAACGTAATAATAGTTTTGTTTTTCCATAAAAAAATAAAAACTTAACACTGAATATTAAAATTATTGAAGTGTTTTTATATTGTCATTTGTTACCATCTTAATTGCGTAATGGAATGACATAATTATTATTAGAAGCAACAAATTTAAACTTGCCATCAAAGAATATTTTTGTTTTTATATAATGATTTTTTTGTTATTATAATATCAATTAAAGAAATTTTAGTATTCACATAAATATAAAAAATAATAAAATATTAACATACATTGTGAAACAAATAAAATGCTCATGAAAAATAAAAAAGTTAAAGTCAATAGATTTTTTAATCATTTCATAATAATTTTGACACTAAAAGATGCTTATGAATTTTACACGTGCGATACCTTCTAACATCCAAAAATACCTTTCTTGCGCTAAAAGATGCTTGTGAATTTTATACAGCATATCCAATACCTTCTAACATCCAAAAATACCTTTCGACATGTTGTAGGAAGTGTTGCCGTGTCTTTTTTCATGAGTAACATAAATTAAAGTTGGTGGTTTGGTTTGTCACTAGTGAACTTTTTTTTTTCCCTCTCTCCCATCCTTTTAAAATTATAATTTGACTTTTTTTGTAGTTGATATTTCAGTTTCAATTCTTATTCTTTTGATTTTTAATATTTTTTTATCTTTTTGTAAAAATTTTATTTATTTTTAATCTCATCCTTTAATCTCAATTTACAAATATTATATTTTTTGGTCCTTATTTTTTTGATTTCTAATTTTTTCCTTAGCCCTTTTGTAAAAATTTAATTTGTTTTTAATTTTATCCTTTAATTCAAATTGATAGTATTATATTTTTCAATTTGGTTCTCATTGTTTTGATTTCTAATTTTTTTCTTGATCTTTCCAAAAAAGTTATTATTCTTTTTAATTTTACCCTTTAATCATAAGTTTATTTTTTTATATCAATTTTGATCCTTATTTTTTTATTTATTTTCTAAAATTTTTTTTCAATTTCATCCTTCTCAAATGTAAATTTTTTTTGGTATTTGAATTTTGATCCTCATTATTTTAAATGTTATTTTTTAATTCCTTTTGTACCATCAATTTTTTTTTAATTTCATACTTTAATATTTGATTTATTGAGAATTTGACTTAAAGGTTTTTTCAAATAGGATGTTTTGGGTATAATGACATGGATCACAGTTTTAAAAATTTAACATTGTTTTTTCTTTTAGAAAGGCTTGATAATTCTTTTTATTTTTTTATCATGTTATTTTAATTTCATTATCCGAGCCACGGGCTTGGCGGGATATCCTAAGCTGAGGTGGCTCTGATTACTGAGGTTATAAATTTGTTATGTTACTTCATGTTAACCATGATCAATTTTTATGTTCTTTTTTACTTCGTTTTGTTCTTCTATATTTAATGGGTTGTGAATTGAGATACATCATTTGTTTTTTTTTGAAAAAAACTTTTTTTTTAATTTGATTCATCTGCTACTGTTTTCTATTTTCTTTCATCTAATTGAATTAAGGCTAACTTATTCAACTCCGTCAGGTTTGTAACTTGAATTATGTATTTTTTAAAAAAAAACATGCTTGTGCAAATTGAACATTATTTTTACAAAAAAAAAAAAACAGCTCAACCCCGTGACAAAATATAGACATGGGCGAGACATTATTTTGCATCGTATTCAAAATATAGTTATAAACAAGTATTTGACAATTTTAAGCTTATAACCAGTATATTGTCTCATGGTTCACAATAGATCAATATCAATTTTTTTAAAATGTCAAAAATGTATTAAGAGTATAAAGTATGTTTCAAGCTCCTTGAATTTAACGGTAATGCCAGACTTAAGTGACTTGAGTTTGACGGCTATTCCAGACCCAACAGACTTTGATCTTCGATCTGGCGGCCTTGACAAACTCGAGCGGATTGGGTCTACCAGCAATGCTAGACCCAACAAAATTTCTAATTATTTTTTTTATAAAAAATATTTAAATTATCTTTGAAATATCATAAACAAGATTCTAATTAATTTTTTTATTTTTTATAAAAAAAAAATTTAAACTACCCTTGAAGTATCCTAAGCAAAAATGTTAATTTGTTTTTTATTTTTTTTATAAAAAACATTTAAAAAATTTAAACTACCCTTGAAGTATCCTAAGCAAAAATGTTAATTTGTTTTTTATAAAAAACATTTAAACTACCATTGAAATATCCTAAACAAAAATGTTAATCAATTGTTTTTATTTTTTATAAAAAAATATTTAAACTACCTTTAAAACATCCTAAACAGAAATGCTAATTAATTATTTTTAGAATTATTTTTTTAATTTTATAAAAAAAATATTTAAACTACCCTTGAAGTATCCCAACATAAGTGCTTACTAATTATTTTTATAAAAAAAAATATTTAAACAACCTTTGAAGTATTATAAACAAAAATGCTAATTAATTTTTTTATATATTTTTTTATTTTTTATAGAAAAAAGCATTTGAACTACCTTGAAGTATCCTAAATAGAAATGCTAATCAATTATTTTTATAATGTTTTTTATTTTTTATAAAAAATATTTAAAACTACCCTTAAAGTACCCCAACAAAAATGCTAATTAATTTTTTTTATTAAAAAGATATTTAAACTATCCTTGAAGTATCCTAAATAGAAATGCTAATTAATTATTTTAATAATTTCTTTTTTATTTTTTATAAAAAACATTTAAAGTACTCTTAAAGTATCCTTAAAAGAAATGCTAATTATTTTTTTATGATTTTTTTTATGTAAAAAATATTCAAACCATCATTGAAGTATCATAAACCAGAAATTCTAATTAATTTTTTTATAATTTTTTTATTTTTATATAAAAAAATTAAGTTATTCTTGAAATATCCTTATTTTTATAGAAAAAAATTAAGTTATTCTTGAAATATCCTACATAAAAATCCCAGTTTCTATTTTTATTTTTTATAAGCTATTCGGTTCGGCGGGGGGGGGGAATCCAAGAACCTTGGACCAAACAGCCATGCCAGACATAACAAATTTGAGTCTAGCGTTTTATGACAGACAGAGGAGCCTTGGGTCTAGCACCCAAGCCTAATTATTTTTTTATTTTTTTAATAAAAAAATATTTAAATTACATTTGAAGTATCCTAAAAGAATACTAATTAATTTTTTTATAAAGTTTTTTTATAAAAAAACATTTAAATTATCCTTAAAATATCCTTAACATAAGTGCTAATAATTTTTTTATTTTTTATAAAAATAAATTATCCATAAGGTATCCTAAATAAATATTCTAATTAATTTTTTTATAATGTTTTTATTTTTATTTTTTATATAATAAACATTTAAACTATCCTTGAAGTATTCTAAATATAAACCCTAATTAAGTTTTTTTTATCATTTTTTATTTTTTATAAAAAAATTTAAATTATTCTTGAAATATCCTAAACAAAAATCTTAATTATTTTTTTATTTGTTATAAGCTCCTAAGTTTGACAATTATTTTAGATCCAAGAGGTTTAGGTCTAACATCCATACTAGACCTAAATGTTATAA